AGGAGGCTGAGGCAGGAGGACTGTAAGTTCAAGGCCTGGGCTACATAGCAAGTTCTAGACCAGCAGAGACTACATAGTGAGAACCTGTCTCAAAAGAGTGAGGGGGTAGGGGTAGGGGAAAGGAGAAGGAGAGGGGAAGTGGGAGGGAGAGCAGGAGGGAAAGTGGGAGAGGGAGAAGGAGAGGGAGAGGGAGAGATAAAAAGTAAAATCAGGACTATGTTATACCTACTTATGATTCCACATGGTTTAGCACAATGCTATTTATAAAATAGGACTCAAATATTTCCTCAGTAAAACATTTACTGAAAAATGTTTTGAAAAAGGTGGTAACATTTTAAGAACATTAAATGTGCATTAACACACAGAACACTGAAGGGTAAAGGAAAAAGCAAGGAGGATGGGAAAGATATAGGAAGGGACACAGTGTGAAATAAACAGAAAATACATATGAAATTCTGATAACAGAAACTATACATGTTTAGGTGTTTAACCTAAAGAAGGGATGATGTCACAAAGTATAATCGCTACATAAAGATAAGTAACATAAAATTCTATAATGTTAGAATCATCCAACAATAGGATAAACAGGATTCTTTTTACCAGCTAAGTAACTTTTAAAATTACAGGCATAGAAGTCAGTAGTACAACTATGTTAGTTATTCTGTATATATGTACATACATAATTTCCTCTTCTTTCTTTTCTCTTTTCCCTTACCCCAGTTGCACTTTACTTTTGAACATTTTCCTTTCATTTCACAATGTTTGTCATACAAAATCAATCAGTATTTTAAAAGTCACAATTTAAAAAAATAACACTAAAACAAAAACTTTCTTCTCTTTCCACATTCATATTCTGTTTTATTAGTACATATTTGCAGTATATAATGATTACAATTCATTATGAGGAGCTGGTACATGTACAGTAATTTTTAATCACTCTTTCAGGTTCTTACACTAGTGAGACAATATGTTGCTTACAGATGGAGGACTGGTTTATTTCACTTAAGAGTATGGTCTCTAGTTGTGACCATTTACCTGTAAAAGCTTCGAGTTATGGATGTCTGTTTGTTAATATGTTTTTCTTCTTTTATTTTTAAAATAAATTTTAAAAAGTAAAAATAAAATAAATTACAGGCATATAAGCAGAGCTCAGGGTTGAGATGGTTTTCAACCCACTTGACAATATCAGAAAAATAGCTGTTAGGTAGAATGCCATCATGAGAAGAATTATCAGAGTGCAGACAAAGCCAAGAAGAAAGGTGCTGTGGTTAAGAACCTGTCATCAGCATGTAAGGTACCACAAATACTTAATAGTACCCCCAATCTAGAGGATGATTTTCAGAAATAATCATTCTTTGTCAAGAATCTAGATCTAAAACGTGTAGTCTTTCCAAATCTCAGGAGACTAAGACTCTATGTTTAGTAAGTAACATCTTTAAATGTTTCAATTTAATGATATCTTCATGTTTATAAATGACAGTCTTCAGTTAGGAAATTGAGGTTATGATTGAGCAACAAGAAAGCACTATGGTTTCTCATCTAATAATTTACCCTTGAGACCACAATATTACCTTAAAAACTTCAAGTACTTTGTAATTCTCAGATAATTTTCATGTCTTTATTTCCAATAAAATTTGTAACTACCAGGTATCAACAGAGAAATGTGTCTAATAAGCAAGAGCAAAAATGAGATCTGATATAGTTTTTTTGTTTTTTGCTCCTGGGGACTGAACCCAAGGCTTCAATCATGCATGGTGTGCTTGGCAACTGAACTAGATCTACAGCCCAAATACAATTTTTTAATTGAAACCGTCTTCCTTTAATGTCTCAGAACATTATGACTAACAAAATCAATCAGTATTTTAAAAGTCACAATTTAAAAAAAAACACTAAAACAAAAACTTTCTCCTCTTTCCACATTCATATTCTTTTGTTTTATTAGTACATATTTGCAGTATATAATGATTACAATTTATTATGAGGAGTTCGTACATGTACACCATATTTCTTTTTTCTTCCCCATCTCTACCCTCATATTCTCCTTAGAGAATTTAAGATAAATAGTCACTGCTGTCTCAGAACATGGTTCCCAAAGTGAGATCACTAGATCAGCATCACCATCACCACCAGGCAACTGTATCACAGACACAAATCCCCAGCCTCACCCAACCTACCGCATCAGAAATTCTACAGTTAACCCAACAATCATGGTTTTAACAGGCACTCCATACGATTCTGATGAATGCTAACATTTGAAAATAAGTTCTATAAAATGGTGAAGTTTCTTTCTAATATAACAGTAACCCTTGATGTACTTCTCAGCATCTTTCTCACACTTTGCATAATCCTCCAAATTTTTCTCATTTGAATGATGAATTTACCAGTAACTTTATGGTGCTTTCCTTCTAACCCTTTAAAACACCAAATGTGTTTTAAGCTAGGTATAAAGTAATTACAGCTGCTTGGGAGACTGAATAAACAAACTGAGATTTCTAGGCCAGATTGGGCCTAACAATAAAAAATAAAAAGGGCTGGCTGGGAATGTAGCTCAGTGGTAGAGAGTCCCTGGGTTCAATCTCCAGTTGGGGTGGTGAGGCAGATGAGTTCAACAGACAACCCTAAGGAAACTGGCCAAAGCATACTTCTTTTGAAAAGAAAATCATATACAAACTTAACTAATTTAGAGTGCTTTTCAGAAGTGCTCTACAAGAATACTGATGGGAAGTGGGAAGTTTTAGATACTATACATGTATATGTATGTATAAGGCACATCAGTTTGGTAATACAGATAAATAATGACAACAGCAAAGCAAAAGAACCCAAATCATCATGAAAGTATTTTGATTGACAAGAAATGTGCCTAACACCATAATTAATAAATCTGGTAGAACTAGACCTCTGTTTCTAGATGTTACATAGTATTTTGGTTACTTTTCTTTGCTGAGCCAAAATATCTGACGCCCAAAATTAAGGAATGAAAGGTTTACTTAGCTCACACTGTGTGGAGGTTACTTGGCTGCTCCAAGACAGAGTGGCACATGGCAGAGGCAACAGTTCATGGCAGCAGAACACAGCAAAAGGAACAAGAGCACAAGGGGACGAGCAGAGGCAAGCAGCCTCTTTTCCTCCATTACATGCAAACTACCCAGGGCGGGTGTAGCACTCCCACCCATGAGTCAATCACAAACTCTAGAAGCCTGCTCCATGACTGCATGAGTCTTTGGGGAACATTCAGACATAAACCATAACATTTCGCCTTTGGCCCCTCAGGTACATCTCTTTATGCAAAAGATATTTTAGTCCATGTCTAAAAGTTGCCGAAGTCCTAACAGTTTCAGCATTGCTGAAAAGTCCAAGTCCCAAGTCTTCCCCAAGATTTAAGGCAAACTCTCAGCTGTGAGCCCCTGTACAAATGAAAAGTTAAACATTTCCAACATTCAATGGCACAAGATAAACATTATCATTCCAAAAGGTACAAATGGGTATACAAAGCATTGGGACCAAAGCAAGTCCAAAATCCAGCAGGGCTAACATTAAGTCTTGTAGTTCCACGTGGAATATCTGAAGCAATCTGTGGCACACTGTGAGCTCCAAAGGGCTCCACCCCTATAGCACTTACAGCTCCCATGGTATCTCTCTTAGGCCTGCTTTGCCCCCTCCTTGGAACTTTCCTTAGACAATCCATGTTCCTGGCTTTTCTAAACTTCTGCAGTCTCCACTGAACCTTTTGCTTCACACAGCTTCATATATTGCCCTCTCAGGAGCACAAAGCCTGGCCTCCCAGGCCTTCTGAAATCTAGGTGGAAGCCTTCTTAACCTCAGAACTCTTGCATTCTCCATGTGCTTAAAACCAGCGCCATGTGGATGATGCCAAGGTCTGCTGCCAGCTGGAGCAATAGCCAGGCTTTCTTCTCTCTTGGCAATAGGGGTCAAGTGCTTGGACCGCTAATCACTCTGAAATTGCTTCTGAGGAACAAATGCTCTGTGCCACCATTATTCTGGCACAGGGTACAGCCACTGCCATTCTAAAGCATGGTGCTCTGCAGCTTTCTCCTCAAAGTAATTGAGATCTTCTTAGCTCTATCTTTGCAATCCACAGCTTTACTGGAGCTTCCTTTTTGGTCAAACTCACAACCTTTTAAATCATCCTGTTGGGCTCTTTGCTCTTGAATCTGGTTAAAAGTCCCCAACAATCGCCATACCATTGCCTCAACATTCAACTGCCTTGAAATTTATTTTGCTAGATTAATCACTCCATCGCCCTTAATCTTAGTCTAAGGCAAAGTCTCTGGACACAAACAAAATGCAGAAAAACTTTCTGCCAAGCCATAACATACACTGTCTGGACTCCAACAATCAGTGTAGCCCTTCTTCCCTGGTCTTCACCAGGGAAGGTGAACGATTTCTATTAGCCTTCTGGTCTTGTGAACTCTGACCGGAATTTTCCATACAGAACAGCCTAAGGCATTCCAGTGCTTCTCTTTCAGGTGACATCTTTGAACCTTTCCAAACTCTTTCCACAAGCCATTCCCAAAGGCTCTTGAACCACACAATGACCCCTCTCCTGGTTCTCCTTGAACCACACAATGACCCCTCTCTAAATTCTGTTTTGGTTACTTTTCTCTCATTGCTGAGACAAAATACCTGATGCCCAAAATTAAGGAAGGAAAGGTTTATTTAGCTCACATTGTGTGCAAGTTTCAGTACATACTTGGCTGCTCCAAGGCAGAGTGGCACATGGCAGAGGGCAACACTTCATGCTGGCAGAACACAGCAAAAGCAACAACAGCACAAGGGGAGGAGTGGTGGCAAGCAACCTCTTTTCCTCTTTTACATTATATGCAAACTACCTGTCCAGGGCAAATGTAGCACTCACACCCATGAATCAATCATAAACTCTAGAAGCCCGCCCCATGACTGCATGAGGTTTTGGGGGACATTCAGACATAAACAGGAACACATGGTAATTCATAGCTAGATGCAATGAAGGACTGACTTACCTGTGTACATAATGTAGTTGATGAACGGAGTCAATTGCTATCACCATCTCAGCCAAGTAAAATCGAGCCATATCTTCAGGCAATCTATCTTCAAATTTGCTGAGCAGAGTAAGCAAATCTCCACCAACATAATAATCCATAACCAGGTACTGTGAACGACAAAATAATGCACTCAATAAATAGTAAGGGTGAAACAATGTATTTTAATGTATCCCAAGGACTATAAAAGATGATCATCAGTAGTCATTATAAGATTTCTAAATTTCATACAATAGTAAATTTTTTTAAATTAAGGTAGAAGATAATATAAGATTCCATTTTTGTTGTGGCTCTATTTTACAAAGTAGCATCATCATCTTTACCAACAATGGACCATCACTGCCAACATTTCACAAAACACTGAACATTTTAATTCTCCAAAATATAAAAGAGAAAATACATGCACAATATGTCATTTGATAAAAATAATATTTATCTGCATTACTAATTTTTTTTATTTCACCTCAGATTCTTTTTTTTTTTTTCTGGTTTTTTTTTGTTTGTTTGTTTTTCTCCGGTACCGGGAACCGAACTCAGGACGTTGCGCTTGCCAGGCAGGCGCTTTGCCACTGAGCTAAATCCCCAGCCCTCACCTCAGATTCTTAAGGTTCCTAAAACTCGTGCCAGTCTATGGATCAGCATTTGTAAGCCACTATTATATAAGCCACCGTATGTTTCTCTTCCCATTTCTAATAGAGTACAAATTTTAAAAAGGATTTTTCTCAGGTATATGTAAACAGAAGCCAACACAGATATGGACCTTTACAGATATGTGTATGTGCTGCATGTACACATGTGCATGTATGTGCATGTGTGTGTTTGTGTGTATATACACACCAAAAAAGAAAAGGAGTATACACCAAAATATCCACCAGATAATTCGAGTTGTTAGATTATGGTGCTACAGCTTTTTGTTATGCTCTACATTATTTTCTAAACATGTGTTAATATATAATGTATGCATGCATCTATAGCACTTCTCATGAAGTCTAGAAAATAGACAATATGTAGACACCAATTATAATTCCTTGGTGTTACAGTGATTTTATTGCAGAATGCAAATATTTCAAAGATATGACTGAGTTGATATTATAATTTAGAATCTTGAGAAAATTTAAATTATTTTTATTACTACACAAGAAAATTATAAGCATAGAAAATGTATACTGGAAAAAAAAAGCCATGATTTTGGGTGTTTCTAACCTCAAAAAAATGTATATTGAAGCAAAAATGTAATTTCATGTACTTGAAGCCTTGAAAATTATGAAAACCATATATAAAATCTTGGTTAATGGCTTACTTGCAATCTTTACTAGGCCTAATCTTTAACAAACTCTATCCTGAGATTAGAGTAAGTGAATGAAACATATCAAAATTATATTAACAAAAATGTGGCAGGAAATGGGAATGGATATAAACAAATCTATACCTCTTATAAAATACTATGAGAACAGTAGCAAGCAAGGGACTTTTTCAAGAAAAATTTAAAAAAACAAGTTTACTATTAAAATGCAATGTAATATTTACGTGTAGTGTCATAAAACCTAACTCATCCCTTTACTAAACATTTACTGAGTGCCAATCATAATACTTTTTGTAAGAAAGAGAAGAAACACCCAAGGAATAAAGAGAAGAGAGAGAAGAAAGGTCTCTACATCAAAGGCTTTTTCTCTTGAAAGGTGTAATGGTTGACTGACTGTGTCAACTTCAGTTTAGAAACTTAACCAAACGGGCTCTCCTACCGGACCTGCCCTAAGGCAGCTGTCTGCACCCTAGGGTGTAGAGGACCCACCCCAGGATAGCTCTTCACCTGGACTCAAGGAAAGGGAAATAAGGAAGGACAGACTGGCTTCTGTTCTTTAAAGGAGCTCCAGTCTTTGCCTTCAGCTTGGAGGTCATCTCCTGGCTTCTAGTGCACACTCTTTGGCTTCTGCCTTGGATCCTTCATCTTCTGGTATAGACTTTCCTACTTTCTGTTGCAGACCCATTGGCCTCCTGATAGGACTTGCAGTGCGACCTTGCAGTGAACTCCAGACCTTCAGCCTCCTGTGTGCAGACACCCTTTGTACTCTTCCTCATCCCACTCTGTGGCTAACCATCGTAAGCCAGTATTATGATTTCTTATACATTTCTATATCTTGTGTTATATCTATTTCTTTAGTATAACACTGACTGATAGAAAAGGGTACTGCATTTCTTGCCACATTAGAATTTTAGGAGATCTGAGCACATCATTCACCACTCAAAAATAATTATCTCTTAACATTTTTGCTGCCCATGGTCATCACTCAAAACTTAGGCTTCTTAAGTCATTTCATCTTCTACCTTCACCAACATACCACTTTGTGTTTTCTCTTAGTAAACTCCAAACCCCAAGGACCTCTTCCCTTCTAAACTTTCAATGTGCCTTAGTGAAACTCTTCTGCGGTAAACTTCCCTAAAATAGAACTAAAACTGATGAACAGAAAAGTATTCTGGCTTTCCTTGCCTGTTTAACTGGGTTCTGGCTTTGCCAACTCATATTCTTCTACCACTTTGCCCTCAGAAATAAATTAATTGTCATTAAGATAGAATTCAGTAAGTTAGGGAAAGAAGAAAAAATTCTCAAGAAAAAAAGAGTTCAAAATGAAATTTTTGATGTCAGAGACACAAGATGCATCAAAGAGGCAGAGAATCAATAAATAACATCACATATAAATAATATTCCTTTCCTGTCATAAAATATCTCCGAACCTAACCAAGATCTCGAAGTCATTCTTTTATGTTTGCGCCTTGATTTGCCACATTAAATTCAATTATCAAGGTCTTGTTGTCTACTGAATCTCTATGGATTCCACCTACTTCTATTCCTACCCAATACACAATAATCTTAATGCATGCTCCTATCCTCTCTACACTATTTATTGCTAGAAGTTTAAGGGCAAAGTGAGTAGCTGTCCACAATGTCTTTTATTATGTTAATAATTTTCTTGGCAACAGAAAATAAAATACAGAACAGAGGAACAAGTAAATTCACTCATAAACTCAACAGGTATTTACAAGGGTACCTACAATACTATGTAGTGATGTCACACTTATTGAATGGGAACACAACCATAAATGAGATATACTTCCTGTCTTCAGGAAATTTATAATCTAATAGAGGGGAAAACACAAAAGTGTGCAATTTTGATGTACCAGAAATACCTTGATAAAAACAAACATGAGAGGCTGTTACTGGCTTTAAAAAAAAAAAACAAAACAGCCAGGCATGGTGGCGCAAGACTGTAATCCCAGCACTCAGGAGGCTGAGGAAGAAGGATTACTGTGAGTTCAAGGCCAGCCTAAGGCTACAAAGTGAGTTTAAGGCCAGTCTCAACTGCAGAGCAAGATCCTGTCTCAAAAACCAAACCAAACCAAACCAAACCAGAAGAAAAAAATCCAACTTCTGCATCATATTCATTTGTCTGAAATTTACTGTTGCTCAAAGTGTAAACGTTATTTTCTTAGATAGAGTTCCTATTAACTAAAATAATTAAATAACCCATATTTAACTCCAATTCAACTGAGATACTCCCTCATACTGTAAGATCCCAAATGCACTCATATCTACTCCTGGGCACTCTGTTCTGTTATGGGTGCCTATTTCTGTATCAAAATCATATTGTCCTGTTTGGATAATTTCATAGAAAAATTTAACATCTGGTAGGACAGGTTCCCAATCACAAACTAGCTTTAAAAGGTCATCCAATCTGGCTAAGGTAGCTTTGAGCAAGTTTCTAAAAACCTCATTCTCTAAGAAGTAATATTTCAAAAATATGTCAAGGATAATCCTAAAATAGGGCTTCTCCTACCAATTGTTAAGAAGAGGACAAACCAGTAAAACTAGGCTGTTCAAAATGAAATTTATATACCAGGAAACACAGTTATCCAATTAAAGCATGCATAACATTAACAGTAGTCAAGTAAATAAAAACTAAAGCAGCAACTGAGATACTTTATTTCACAAATCAGATCAGCAAGCACACAGCTTTGAGGAAAGTAACAAGAAACACTGCTTTTGTAGGATGACAGATCACAACCTTTCAGGAAATTTCACAGTATCATTTAAATTTGACTGCCCTTTGCTCTCTAACATTGTCACTCCTGGGAATGCAGTCAATTAAAACAAAAACTCCAACCTGGGTACAGTAGTGCCTGACCATAACCTAGGCATTTGAAAGGCTAAGGCAAAAGGATCACAAGTTTGAGGCCAGCATGGGTCACAAAGTGGGTCAGAGGCCAGCCTCAGACAAGTGAGATTCTATCTCAAGGGAAAAAAAAAGGACTCCAATACACAAGAAATATGGGCAAGTATATTTACTGCAGAGAATTGTGGATAACTGTGAAAAATCAGAAGAAAAATATGAAAATGAAAAAGCAAATAGCTAAATTAACTAGGGCATATCTGTTCTATGAAATATTATACAGTTGCCAAAAGAATTTTATTTATTGTTTTTGAGATATTTAAGGAAAATATGAGATATTCAAGGAAAAGCAAGCTGCAGAAAGCAAACTACATAGTAATATATATTTTATTATTCCATTTTTATATAAAAAGAAAATATGTATATGTACACAGACATACAATTACATAAAGTATAAAAAATATCAAAGGATACACAGAAAACTTAATAGTTACCTCAGAAGAATGAAATGGAAAAATGAAGATAAGGATTATTTTTTGGTACTGGGAATGGAATCGGGTCCTCGTGCTTGCCCAGCAGGTGCTTGTGCCACTGAGCTATATCCCCTACCCAAAGGTAAGGATTTTTAACTCTTTATGTATATCTCTATATGGCAGAAGGAAAACAATCTAGTCAAACTGACGTGAATCAATGGACTCAAGTCCTACAAAAGGTAGAAGGTTATGGAATCAGTAACCTTAAACAGAAAGATAGATCTCACCTACATGTGAAAAAAGCAATTCAAATATGGATGAATTTGCATAAAGAGAAAGGATGAGAGTGGAACTTTAAAAAGTTTATGTGTAAGAAATGTCTTATTAGATAGCTCTCATTTTCTCCATGAAGGGGATACAGTTCAGCAGCACAAGTGCCTGCCTGATAAGAACAAAATGCTGAGTTTGATT